GGGTTTATAGGGCTTATAGGTTTTTAGGGCTTTAGGGTATATAATATAGGTTTTAGGGTTTAGGGGTTTTAGGGCTTATAGGGTTTAGGGGTTTAGGGTTTAGGGGTTTAGGGATTAGGGTTTAGGGGTTTAAGGTTTAGGGTTTAGGGCTTCGGGGTTGCTGTTAAGGAACTTTATTTAAGCTAACATAATGGTGATATATAGTAAATAGTGGGGTTTCCTGATTATTCTAGGAACTTAAGCCCCTCAACAGCAACCTAGTTTCAGCAGCTCCTCAATCTCTGCATCGGAATCCTCCTCAAGGTCCACTGTGGAGGATCCGCCGATCTTCTCATGGCCGAAGAGGGACCTAAACCCTAAACCCTAAAGCCGGAATCTTTCCCAAACCCCGATCCCCAAACCCAAAACCCCAAACCCAGAACCCCAAGTCCAAACTCACAAATCCCAAACCCGAAACCCGAAACCCTAACCCCAAGCCCAAACCCTAAATCCCAAACCCGAAACCCAAACCCGTAAACCCCAAACCCTAGACCCCAAGCCCAAACCCTAAATCCCAAACCCCAAACGGTTTAGGGTCGAGGGTCTAGGGTTTAGGGTTGAGGGTTTAGGGCCTACCTAAATCCTAAACCCTAAACCCTAAAAACCTAAAAGCCCTAAACCCTAAAACCCTAGAGCCCTAAACCCCTAAAACCCTAAACCCTAAAGCCTAAAACCCTAAACCATAAAAGCCTAAAAACCCTAGAACCCTAAACCCTAAACCCTAAAACTCTAAAACCCTAAACCCTAAACCCACAAAGCCCTAAACCCTCAAACCCTAAACCCCTAAACCCACAAAGCCCCTAAACCCACAAATCCCTAAACCCCTCTGAGCAAAGCAGGACATGCTCTCCATGATTCGGGACCTTCGACAGACGCTCAAGCTCAAGGTCTCTTCCGACAGGGGTTTAGGGTTTAGGGTTTAGGGGTTTAGGGGCTTATGGATTCCTTTTTCAATGGTTCCTTTAAGGTTTCGTTTAGGGTTAAGGGTTCCTTTCATTCAATGGTTCCTTTAAGGTTTCGTTTAGGGTTTAGGGTTAAGGGTTCCTTTCATTCAATGGTTCCTTTAAGGTTTCGTTTGGGGTTTAGGGTTAAGGATTCCTTTTTCAATGGTTCCTTTAAGGTTTCGTTTAGGGTTCAGGGGTTTAGAGTTTAGGGTTACCTTTCAATGGTTCCTTTGAGGATTTCTTTCAATGGTTCCTTTAAGGTTTCGTTTAGGGGTTATAGTTAAGGCTTCGTTTCGGGGATGGTGTCGGGTTTAGGGTCTGGTACGGTTGATGAATATAAATCCTGCATTACCCATAGAAATAGGAATATACCATAGTTTCCGTAGTTTAGGGTCCTTCAGGTAATGCAGGATTTATGCCATCAGCAGTAGTTAAGTCTTCCCTTCAAGGGTCTAGAAGGATCGCTCCAAGAGGATGCTGTAAGGGCTCCTTTAAGGATTTACGATTTAGGTTTCGGATTTAGGGTTTAGGGTTTATCTATGGGTTTTAGGAAGGATCCTTAATAGGGACCCTTGTAGGTTATTGGGGTTAATATGGAGACTACCTGGCTATATAAGGGGTATATCAGGACTATACAACGGTTATTTAAGGTAATGGGATTAAGGGTCTCTATTAGGGGTCCCTCCTAAAGTCCTGCGGGTTAGTTTTTCTATAACGGTCCCTCTGAGGAGCGAGGGCTTAGGGTCTGGTAGGTGGGGTTCTCTGAAGGCTTCTAGAAGGTTGTTTTTGTAGGGTTTAGGGTTTGGGGTGACTAGATGGTTGTTTTATCGGAGGTTATGCGTCTGTCAAGGGTCATGGGACTTCGCAAAATGTCGAGGCATTCAAGGGTTTCATAGGTTTCTAAGCGGGCTCGAGAGGGGTTCTATTCCTAGGTTCCCCAGTAGTACCCTTTTGCCCTTTTTCTTTTTGGGTTCCCTTACTAACACGAAATAGTAGGAACACGTGTACCCTTATTATTAAGGGGCTACTTGGGAGCCTAGATTCCAAAGAATTCCAAAGGGCTTTTAGGCTTTGTAGGTGACCCTAAACGGGGGAGGTAAGCAACTGAAATTCTAGCTACCTTGCTTATATCACAAGTTTAAAATTCCCATGACCCTGTAAGTAGGGCACCTGCCGTCAGTGATGGAGTTGACGAATATGGCGGCTGTATTGCCAAATCTGTACCATCGTGACAAGCACAGAGCCTTCAGCTGCCGTGGTGAAGGACATGGGTAGTTCTCTAAATTCGGGCCCCTTTTAGGGTCCTTTTTATAAGGGTGCCGTACTATATTGGGGACCTAAAAAAGGGCCCTAGTTTTGAAAACTACCCACATGATTCAGAAGCACATCAAGGCTCAGATCCGTCGCCAAGAGAACGTGGTCCGCATGGAGACAAACTCCTTGGAGTGCCTTCCTCGCGAGCTCGCTGAGATCACAAAATCGACACCTGCGTTGGATCGTAATGGTGCCCCGTCATAGTCCCAACAGAGCTATTCTACAATGTGCCCCGAACCCTATCCTAATCTGTTTTTCAGGCCCCTTCATCACTGGCTGGAGCGTAGTACTAACCTTGAGGCCATGCATCGCAGGCATGGAGTCACATGAAGTGGTTACCCAGGCCGTTTCCCCAAGGATCCAAAGTATCGATTCGGGCTTAGGATAGATGTAATTTAGGTGAGTATTTGGGGGAGTATAGTCTTGTGAAGCACACTTGGTCACGGGGACAGCAGCTGCTTATGGTACTCATCGGCAGCGTGATGGCGATGACGAGGAGGAGGGGGCGGAGGAGGAGGAGGATGTGGCTGGTGACGATGGCGAATGCAGATGAGAACGATCAATGACTGGTGCTTACGACACTTCGCGCTGATGATGACGTGAACAGTGAAAGACAAGTGACGTTGCAGACTAGTAACAAGAGATGGCGCGGAAGATATCGGCTTAACGATGCTGACGGAAAATTTGGGGTAGTTGTTAGCAGTGGCAACCATGACGAGAAAGGGCAACCTTGGCAAGAGCAGATCGTGTTCAATCAGGTGACAACACTTCGAACAGGCATAATACCAAGTCATCCACAGACACACACGCAAATAACTAATAGACATTTCGAAATAATGCGGGGAATTGGTTCCAGGTCTCATTCTGGTTTCAGGTTCGGCTCATGTGAATTGGCCAAACTTCTGCTACGGCAGTATTTGTCGCTACTGTCATACTCAGTACTGTTATGAATAGCGCAAGACCAATGCCAAGGAAGTCGTATCATAAGTTGAGTCAAGTCAAGCCCATGGCTAGTATAGAAACTAAATAGATTATAGTTCATATGATACATTATGCCTTTCTTGTCGCGCCACTATGATATTTCTATTTAAATATTCCCCAAACCCTTTCCTAATCTGTCAGGCCCGTCTACTACGAGTATTGCACACCATTCCTTTAACTGGGCTGAGACTTGACAACTGCCAGAAACTCTGACAGCAGTGGTTGGCATCGGGGACCTCTGGTCGACTCAAGTTCAAGCAGCTTGGTGGGACAAGTTTGGGGTTTAGGAAACCCTAAACCCGACAATCCTACACCTCACATGCGAAAAAGCAAGATCTCGTGTTTTGATTGCTTTTCTGGCACGAAAACTGCACCACGCTGCAGGCGCTGATCATGGAGTCGTTCGTCCCCATGAAGGAAGCTTTAGGGTTTAGGGTAGGGTTCAGGGGTTTATATGCAGTAGGGGCTCAGAGTGTAGGCACACTGCTGTGGGAGTCTGCCTAAGAAGTTTTGAGATGTCCTTCTGGTAAGGGTTCCATGAAGGGTTTGTGGGGTTTACTGTAGGCGTTTCAACACATAACAACCTATCCTTACAGTCCCAGATGTGTCTACTAGATTCCTGGTTTCAAGGAGTTTGTTCGTTCGGTTGCAGGGGTTTTGGTCGGAATATGGATTAAGACGGTGCTGGCTTTCCTTCAAGTGTGCCGCAAGGGTTTGAAGAATTAGTAAGAGTATCCCTCGGAGTCCTTATATGACTACACTGTGTCAGTCACCTGATAGTCTCCCAAAGCCCTGGTCGAACTGTTTGGCGGCTCATAATGACTTTCCTGGGCATCATGGGAACTGTGTCGGGAACTCCCTTGGTCGAGCTGACAATGGGTCTTGCAAAGTCATACCAGGAGCATCACAACTATGAGAGCCGGAATCAGCATACTTAACGCAACAAGAGCTATGAAAACCGGGACGAAGCAACTAACACCACAGGAGTAAGAATCACGAGTTGAATAAGCCACACTGCTGAGGATCACGCCGCCAGGACCCAGTACTTGAGGCTGAAGAAACCTATCCAAAACAGCCATCGATTCCGATAAGCACCAAGACCGCGACAACAAGGACAACAAGAACGAGAGTGTCAACGGTATCGACAGATATCATCATCTTTAACCCTAAACCCTTAACCCTAAACCCTAAACAAAATCTGCAGGCCCATCACCAGAAAGACTAGGGCCCGATTGCTATTTAGATAATGGGAAAGACGGTACCCTCAAGCTACAGCGCATACTGGGCAACCTACGACACGATTGGGAGGTAGTTGGGCTTAAGGTTTAGGGGTTTAGGGTTTAGGGGTTTGGCTTTAGTGCTTTAGGGTTTAGGGTTTGGGGTTTAGGGTTTGGGGGTTTAGTGTTTAGGGTCCGGCTACCGCTGCAATCAAAGACTTCCCTTTGCCGGCGAACTCAGAGTTCGGGGATCGGGGTTTAGAGAGTAACACTGACTTCCTAAGCTCTCTTGAGGAATAGGGCAGCCTAGAGCCTTAAACATCACTTTACGCCCTAAACCCTAAACCTCTAAACCCTAACCCCCTAAACCCTAAACCCTCAAACCCTAAAGCCCGAAAACTGAAATCCCGAAACCCTAAACCCTAAAACCCTAAACCTCTAATCCCTGAACCTTAGAGCCCTCAACACTACTTTGCGGCTTAGGGCATACTAAACCCTAAACCCTAAACCCTAAACCCTAAACCCTAAACCCCAAACCCTAAACCCTAAGCATAGTGTGCGACACCCTAAATCCGAGGCAACCCTGGCCCCCTGCACCTTAGAGCCCCATCTCTTAGGGTTTAGGGTTTAGGGTTTAGGGTTTAGGGTTTAGGGTTTAGGGTTTAGGCATTAGCTTATGCGTTCGGGTTTAGGCATAGTAGGGTTTAGGCATTAAGTTTTAGGGTTTAGGGTTTGGGGTTTATACTTGATACTACGTGAAACACCTGATAGACCCCATATGCTACCCTGAAGCGAACGCAAACTCTCCTACTTGGAGGTTCATGGGTAGTTATAGGTAGGGTTATAAGTGGGGTAACTGTAGTTATAACCCATATCAGGGGACTTATAACCCCACTTCTATCTACCCATGAACCTTCAAGTACTCCCTAAACCCTAAACCCCAAAACCCTAAACCCTAAACCCTAAAACCCAAAACCCCAAACCCCAAACCCCAAACCCCAA